GAACGCAAGAGAGGCTACAGCAGCGTAGCATGACGTATGTGTGGAAGCGCAAGAGAAAACTACAGTATCGTAGCATGACGTATGTGTGGAAGGGCAAGAAAACCTACAGCAGCGTAGCATGACGTATGTCTCGCAGTGCAAGAGAACCTACAGCAGCGTAGCATGACATACAAGTACAGCAGCGTAGCATGACGTATGTATGGATATGAATGAAGCATGACGGATGTTTGGACGTGCCAATAACGTTTTTTTCCACCCCACCCCACCCTCACCACCACCACCCCCACCCAATCTTATGTTGATAGTATGATGCAAGAAATCACAACAGTCGCAAGCCTCTCAGATGCCCGGCACCTAAAACATGATGCTAACAAAAGTGAAGGACAAGAACGTTTACGTGCAAGGTGGACATTCATTACATTAGCGTAAAATCACATACACGTGCATATCACAAAACAAAGCATCTATAAATAAACATATTTATATATACATACATACATAGATAAACTCGCACCTTACAAAACGCATTTCATTTCAAATAAATCACATTTTTCAATTTCCCTCCACAACAGTTCCGCTTTTGATATATTAATCCTTTTTGCATTGCTGGATTATTTGAATCTGGTTCGATCAAATTGATACCCAACTTGATCAAGGAGCCAACATACCCCCCTCTTTCAAGGAGAGGTAATGTAAAGATTCTCCCCAGTGAGAATGAAAGCAACAGCGAAGCAGTGACACACAATGGAGAAATCAAAACATGAGATGATAAGTCCAGGTAGCTAGCGCAAAACAAGTCATCTTTTACAGAAATGTTGCCAAGAGGGAGCTTGTCAAGAGATCTTGCCAAGACAGAGGGACCTCTTATAGGGAGCTTTATGCCAAGATCTTGCCAAGAGACCTCTTACAGAGATCTGTGCAGAGACAGAGAGAGCTGATATGTGGAGCTCTTGTACACAGATCTTGCTAGGAGACATCTGAGAGAAAATCTTCCTCCGAGATCATTTTTAGATAGCTTGCATAGAGTTTTTTTCCGTCCAACGCCTTCATGGCTTCCGCCAGGTCGTTACACACATTCAATCGCGGCAAACAGTTGAATTGTTATTCAAGCAGGCTGTCAACTTGTCGAAAGCCACAAAAGTGCTGGTAGTGGACCAGTACGCAGTCCAGAAGCTGTCCCAGCAAGAAAACAGACAAGAAAGCAAACAAAAAACAACAAAACAAAAACAAGCAAACAAAAAACACAACCACAACCAAACCAAAACAAACACGACACAGAGAAGTGGGATAGCCACCAGCAATGGGAATTACATGCATGATGACATCTTGTGTGTCATTATGAAAATGGCCCAAAACAAGAAGCAAAACAAAGGAACCACAAAACACACCAATGGGCCATGTTAGAGGGTGAGAGAAGCAACAAAGCTCCATGCGGAAACCAGGGATCCCCCCAGCCAGGATCCCCGAGATCACAAAGAGCAGCCGTTCAGGCATGACATTACACCCAGGCACTTCGAAGCAAACACCGACAACGCCGGGTCGCAACGAGAGTGGTGAGAAACGAAAAAACGGTGAAACAGGAAGGTGAGACATGATCTAAGGTGAAAATGACAGCAATAGCTACGGCACTCAGGGCACACTCAGAGTCCGCTCAGTTGTTCTTTTCCAAGCATCATCATCATTGGGAGCTGCAGTGCGCTCTTGCGGTGCATACCGCTTTCAAAACTGAATCCAATGCGATCGAGTTAGCGATGATCGCTAGCTCGACAGCATTGATGCAGGCTTGCAAGCGTGGAAATCCTCAAGCGGTCAACAAAGTGGGCGTTGCAGTCAATTGCATTCGATGCGGTCGGTTGACCATGGTAGCTGGCTCAGTCACATTGATACAGGGATGCGAGCGTTTTCCTCTGAACAGGGACCAGGTCTGTCATCAAAGTGTTCAGCCGAGGTTCTGGACAGGCAACTTGCGTCAGCTGTGTTGAGGTCCTCTGTCGGGTAATGTTGTACGCTCGCTTGCATGAGCTGTAGCTGTCGATTTATAACTTCACGTTCTGTAACATTGGCTCGGGCCTCTACACGGATGCGCAGACTCTTTATGCAACAGCAGGCTGCGCGTATGGCTCTGCAATCTTGCTCGTTGATGACGCCTGCAAGGAGTTCTGTTTGCTGCAATAAGGCATGGGTGTCTTCCAGTGTTCTTAGGGTGTGCGTCAGTTTGCAAACATAGTCCTGCAAAAGGAGGAGATCTTGTGCCTCATTGTGACTCTGGGGTTCTTGAGGCAGGCATGCCAATTCACTGGGTTGAGCTGTATTCATATGGCCAGGCGGCATTCGAACAGTGAAGGTACTGGATTGAGCTGAGCAAAACAGCAACGGGCGCCATGGCTTGATGTACTTTGACATCGTCCTACGCTACCAGTAACTAGATATAAATAGTGGCCCATTAAAAATATTACAATTGTCCCCCTCCCCCTTCCTCCCTTCCCATACTCACAAAGGCAAGCTTACCACACAATCAGCTCCACTAGGCAGTAGTCAACCATGGGTACCCCATGGTGACAGCACCTATCTACACAGTGGTTATCTGTCATGTGTGGCAACCGTGGGTACCCCACGTTAACCGTGTGAGACTACTGGAACTGCACAGGCTGACTGGCTCTGGGGTGTTCGTGGCTGCCGGTGCTACTGGCTGTGCTACTTAAGGGGGGTGGGTCACCACTTCCTGCTGGTTTGATCATTTGCGCGATAAGTGGATGGCTTTGCTTTGCAAGCAGAATCCTAGTCATCTCGCGAGTGAAAGCTGCAGGGTCGTCCACTAGTGCCTTCGCTTCCGCCAGTGGTCTGTCAAGGACAATGGCAATGAGCATTTCTCCGCCATCTTTCTGGATGAGGGCCGGTCGGCCGGCTTGCATCTGTGCAAGGATTGCCACCGCCTTGTTTTTGCACAGGGTGCGTTCCCATTCCTCTAGGGCTCTTTGTGCCAGGGTGCCAGTTTGTGGTGGGGCATTTTGAGCTGCCGGTGTCCCCAATGCACGGATGAAGGGACTGTCAGGCAGCGTGGAAGACGGCAGGTTTGTGATAGCGGCTACTGCACGTGAAATGTCACCATCTTTGACTTCATAGGAAGGGGAAGATTTCTGCCCAATGGCCGGCTCGGAGTCAGCCCAGAGTTGCCGCAGCGTGTATCCTGTCTTCGGTTCCATGCACCTTCTGTTCCATACTGCGTTGTGAGACCATTGGGGTGCGTCATGGTTTATTTCAACTGAATCTCTTTTCATGTCATATTCTCTGAGCATGTCATCAAGTTCTTGGAGGGTCGCAGATCGGTGAATACAACATTGCCTAACGGCACCATCGATGTGCAGTGGCCATCCCACTGGCATGTGGGAGTCTTCTAGAAGCCCATCGATCACCATTTTGCTCGATGATTGTGCCTAGCATTGGGACATCAATTGTTGCCTTGAGGCTAACCTGCGCACGTTTGCACTTCCATGTATCTGGGGCGAGCAAGCCACGCGCGGCCAGTAATGCTAGTGCTGGGAATTCCGGTTGGTCTTTCATTGGCAGCACCTCTTCTTTAATGACTAATTTAAGACCGTGTAGCGGTTGGGGCTGCCCTTGGTCTGGTTGAGGCGTAGTCTCTTTGGGCACCGCGATGTCTTCAAACCAGGTGGGGCGGACAGACTGGACACCTACTGTACTGGCGGAACTTGCGTTCTTGATGCTTTCCCTGCGCAGGCTGTGGTAGACAGGAGGGATCATCCATGCGGGCACAAAGACAGTGATAAACTGAACGTTCCAGATGACCTGTAGGTTCTGCGGCTTAATTTCTGGAGTGATGCATCTCACTTGACCATCTATGACTCGCGTGTACGATTCGGATCGGTCAAACGATGCTGTGACTTTTAGGCCGAGGTATAGTATAGTTCTCTTTATTTCCTTACACATAAAAAACAGGGGTCAAGAAGTATGGGGGCAACGCCATAATAGGAAGTAAAGACATACAGCACGCTACCCATCGTGAGTAGCCGGAAAACGTGCCATAAACGGAAGTGCGTAACGCAATCGCAACGCAAAAACGCACGTTCGAAAAAAGCCAAACTGCACAAATAAATAAGTGAACATGTGGACATGAGAAAACACTGAAATCCACAAACAGCAACATCGGAGTGCAGTCCTTTTTTCCTGAGCTGAATTGGAGTCACACTGCCATCCATCGTTCGGAGGGATGGAATAGGGGTGAGAAGTATACCTGCATACAGGAAAGGAAAAGGGTGAAAAGCATACCTGCATTCAGGAAAGAAAAAGGGTACATAGCATACCTGCATTCAGGAGAAAAAATCCATCACATAGGATGGAACATAGGGTCAGGGAGGGCGGGCAAATTTCAAACATGGCGTCCTAAAAAACGCGAAACCCACCCACCCACCTCTTGAACAAAAACTGTGGGAGAACATAAAAGTCATTGACATGTACCCAAGATAAGTGTTGACAAAGAAGCACAGCAGTCTGAGAAAAACACATCAAAGAAAAGCGTTGCAAGACAAATGTTAACTGTTTGAAATTACAGTGTTGACATTTGAGACCCATACTTCAAGTGACCCCCAGAACCGCATAGCCTGCATTCAGGCAAACGGTTTTTTAGATTTAGGAAATAAAGAGTTATCACCACGTTGGGCGAAAAACCTCTTATTTCCTTACACATAAAAAACAGGGGTCAAGAAGTATGGGGGCAACGCCATAATAGGAAGTAAAGACATACAGCACGCTACCCATCGTGAGTAGCCGGAAAACGTGCCATAAACGGAAGTGCGTAACGCAATCGCAACGCAAAAACGCACGTTCGAAAAAAGCCAAACTGCACAAATAAATAAGTGAACATGTGGACATGAGAAAACACTGAAATCCACAAACAGCAACATCGGAGTGCAGTCCTTTTTTCCTGAGCTGAATTGGAGTCACACTGCCATCCATCGTTCGGACCCATGGATCCCCCCCAATCACTTATGGGGACGGAAAACAAACTCCAGTGCATATTGGAAAGCTGCCAGCACCACGTTGTGTGCAATCATCTTTTGATTTTTCAACAAAGGATGCCTCTGAAGACGAGACGGAAAGTCAGCAATGTTAGAAGGTGAGGCAACCCTCAAAAACCAAGGCAGTATCATCGCTTCCTCGCACAAGGTGGAGGCAAGTCGCACCAGCAATGTTACGAATGGCGCTTTTGAGTAACCTTTTATCAAACCAAATCTTGCGACATCATTGTCAAGGCAGAAAACGACATGTTGTGAGCATAACACCGATGCCCAAAGTTTCATCGCCACAACTGTAGCAAGGGTTTCCAATTCAGCGATCGCATTCTCCTGCAGCTGAGCCATGAAGTGTTCAACCTGGTTGGATTCCAACTTGAGTTGGAACCAAGCTTCAACTTGCCCCTTAGGGCTGCACAGCACCCCACCGATGCCACCTGTCAAGTTCGCCTCAAGGCAGGCGTCAGTCAAAACAAATCGAGTATGTCTGGTAGCCATGTTAATAGACCTCGGTAGGCCCGTCAGCAAACGGTCTCGAAAAAATTGCAAAGCATATCTCAGTTCATCGCTCACAGCATTTTTGAAAGGTTTTGCATAAACATGATCTGACACCGCTTGTAAAACATATTTGCCGGCCAGTCCAAATATCTGGCCATGTGCAAAAGTCAGCTTACCATTCAAGACTTGGCCCTCCTTGTACTGCAGGGTGCCCAGGTTCACAACACTGGTGATTAGCTCAACCAAGTCTTTTTTGCGCTTCTCGGTGTTCATAACTTTGATCTCCCCCGCAATGGTCTCGGCCAGGGAAATTGAAACACCCAAAGACGCCACCACTTCAGAAAAAGTGTCAGCTTTCGGCCCTTCTTTATCATATGCCCACCCCAACATTTCGAAAAGCAAGCTCATGGCCGACTCACTGCTGCTCTGTAGTTGAGGGGTGGCAATGACCACAAAATCGTCATAGTAACATGTTGTAGGTAAAAGCAAACACTTACAAGCAAGCCACTGTATGCATCTGGAGCATCGTATAAAAGCATTCACCGCTGCCTTTGACCCAAATGGCAAGCAAACCTGTGAAAAAACCTCATTGGCCCGCTTGCGCGGATTGTAGACACATATGTATGAGAAAGCCCTTGATGTCGGAGCCACACACAACTGCCGATAGGCTGCAGCCAAGTCAAAGGAGCGAGCTTTCAACTCCGTGCTCCGTCCAACACTGCGCAGCCCAGTCATAAGCTGCAACATCAAAGCACAAATTACATCCACGTTGTCAGCTGTAGCCTGGTCCTTGACTGTAACTGTTGCATTCACTGAGCTCATACTGTAATCATCTATTGGACGAAGCTTCTCACCCTGCTGCAAGGCAAAGCGCCTTGAGACAACTGCATTTGGCTCCAGCGAATCCCAGGGTAGCGGGCCAAGAAGCCAGCCCCTCTCGACTTCATCAAGGGTTTTTTGGTAAAGCATCTCATCCAAGTTTGGATCTCCACAAGACGCGCTAGCTGTCCTCATGGCAGCGCGAGCCCTGCCAGCGTTAGGGGCAAGCTCGCCCACCGCCATAGTAGCAGGAACAAGTTTCGCTGGCAGCATACCGCCGGCAGTCGGCAGTTCACCCACCAAGTCAAAGCCACGCTTGAGATCTTGCACCAGGCCAATGTCGGGATACCCTTCGTCCTGCAAGATACGCTCCAACAAAGCAATGCGCTTTGCAGACATGATGCTCCTCATGGGGCCAGGCATGTCTTGTAAGATGGCAGCTTCCTTCTCTTTCAAAGCTGCGGCCATTGGTAGGTACTTGCCAAACCATTTGCATCTGTGAATGACAATGTCGTGATAAGACCAGTGTACATTGGCATCAACCGCAACCTGCATAACATCCGAAATCCCTGACATGAGGTGTTGAGGGTGTCCCGCAAGTGCTACCTGTTCCAAGAAAAACTCAGGTGACCAAAAACGACCAAAAATAAGTTCATCCGATTCAAACTCTTTGTCACATTTCACCTGCCGGACCCCTGCACATTGGTTGCAGTCCTTGTCAGTTTTGTCCTCTGTTGCCGTCATACCATCACCCAAACTTTGTGTAACATTCGCCTGCAGCAAGTCCAAGGCAACAGTACTATCGCCGCAACTGGTACACCCCTTTTGAGGAGTGCGGCAAAGCATACGAGTCTGGCATGGAATGAAAATTTCATCATTGTCACATAGAAAATTATGGCATTGCATTGTATTTCGCTTCGAATCCAAAGGAATATCGACAGCTCTGGGCACATGACGTACTTGTAGCACCTTTTGAAATTCAGGTACAAGCTGTGGTATACGTTTTGGCTGTTGATTCGTAGCCACTGCAGCCGACCGTGCCAGTTTTACACGCTTGGCAAGGTCTAAAGGACCCCATTGATGGAGTTTCTGTAAATGCTCTGCCACCCCACGCACCAAAACTTCACAAAAATTCTTTGGATACTCGGCTTCCAAAGCAGTGTCAAATTGCCCATCACGAAACTCATAAGGTGCATGTTCATGTAAGCCATCACATTGAATTGCATAAGAACCCAGGTTCTCACAGTTGGTGGCGATGCCAGTACGCTTCAGTCGTTTGCCACCAAACATACACATATCAAACTGAAAAAACAAAACCTTGGTCTGCTCCTGGATTTGCTGGAAATATGAGGTTTGCCAAAGCCAGCTTCGCAACGGATTCTCAATGGTCCAAACTGTAGTGGAAGGCAAGCTCAAAATGAGCTTTTGCATGAAGTGATACAACCTGTTGGCTGCCCTGAGCCGGTCACGCGAATTCTGACTCAGCAAATGTGGAGGTAGTCCATCTGGGAAGTGCTTTGACCGCATCGGCCGTGGCCCAAAATGTGTCTTTGACATCCTACGCTCCCGTGCACGAGAAGCTGTACCGCATGGAATCCCAAAATGGACCCAAACGCATCTCGGGTCTGACACCCATTGCATGACCATCTCTTGAACTTCAGGTTTCTGAAGGTCCAAACAAATCACCTGACTTTTGGGATGCGTCACTTTGTGATCAATTCCAAAACTATCAGGGAGAAGTGTCCTGATGCACGCAGTGAGGCCAGCTGTACCGCAAAACAGTTCAATACCGAAGCAGCCTTCCAGAGGTATCTCGACAGGATTGTGCGTTGCTCCATCATTAGCTGGCATCTTAGGCACATTGTTTGTCGTAGAGCATTGCACAAAGTCCCTTTTGGATCCTCTGCCAGCCTGTTTTCATTGGCCCTCATGTTCCGTCTGAGGGTGGTTCTTGTAGCACCCTGGCATGCAACACACATGTTCACGAGGGCATTTCTTATCCTTGCACTTGCCCAGATTGAAGTTGAAACAGATTGCTTTCCCTGAAGGCGTCTTGTGATGCATCCCATGAAGCTGATGTGGCATCGGCTGTCTCTTGTTCTTGCCTCCCCCTTTGCCCTTGGAGCTAGGGGCACCTCCAGTCTTGTTACCCCCGGGCGTTTTCTTGATTGGGGGAGTCTTTGTACTGGTCGCATTCGAAGTCTTATCATCATCACGGTGGCGTCCCAAAGGCACCGGCAGCATATGATATGTCACTGTGACATCATTGTGCAACTGATCAAATGCCAAATCAAGTGGTAAAACTCCAGCTGCATTGATGTGGTAAGGCGGTGACACTGTTTCTGCCAGCCTCATGAAAGCTTGCCTGTCAGCGCGCAAAAGTTGCGCATGCCCTGGACGTCCAAACCCAGGTGCAGGTAACTGGGTTAACAGCGCAAACAAACGGTTCACAAACTTCATAACTGTATTGTAAGATGCAATGCCCACCAAATCCATAGCTAATGCACGACGTGTCATAGCTTGCAACAGACTGAGGTCACTGGTGATGTCTGTCTCTTGATCATGTGGTTTGTCCTTTACCACCAGGCTGCTGCGCGTCTCATCAAGCTTGATCTGCTTGTCTGGCTTGTCACCTGAAAGTTCTGTTGACGCGTCATGCATTTGCCTGGAGATATGTATTTCAACTCACCAGTCTCAAGCATGGCTGAAAACTGATCATACAGCCAATGACTTGGTTCCATGGGCCCAGACAATTCCAAACCTTGAAGTCGCTGACGCTGGGCTTCGATTCTTGCAGAACGCTCAGCAGGTGCTACCCTACGTGTGCTGGCATCATCAGGTGAGTGCACAGTTGAACGTAGGCTTGCAATGGTCAACGTCTGTGCTTCAAACAACACACGCTTCACAGCTGTTATCTCACTGAGTGTAGGGCCCACACCAAGACGCAAATGATTCATGAAGTCTGTCACTTGTTCAGTTGTAGGAGCAACACCAGGCGTTGTCACTGCATATGCCAAACGCCCTAACTTGTTGAGATCATTCCTCCCAAACGCTTCAATCCACTGCTCATTGAGACCAGCACGCTTAGCTTGCGACTCAAACGCCGCCACCGATTCAAGCAAAGTGTTGCTAGCCATTCTGACACACGCAATCTAAGAAGGGCAGTAAAAGAAAGTTGTTGGATTCATCACACCAAAAATCACAAAATTGAAGTTAAACATGCAGCGAGGACAGTAAGACAGTGAAAGCATCTCAGAAGTCAAGTCGTGCGAAATGAATGACATCGTGTTGTGATAATGCTGAAGCTTGACACCTACGTGCGCATTCGCACTTCGAGCTGTGGCCATAGCTCTGCAATGAGATACAAACATGTGTTCTCACATGACTCCAAAAAATGAGTCCATTTCACCGTGCATTCACGGCACATCTGATATCATGTCGGTTGAGCATTCTCAAGAAACATCTGATCACTCACAAATTCAACTGACATTTCAGTGCCCTTTCTGAGAGCTGCCACGCACATTTTCCAAGCTACAGCTGAGATGCAAACCAGTTCCTGCTGTTACGCAGGGTTCCTATGTCTGTCGACAGGGTGCACAAATGAAAGGAATGAAACAACATGCACAAAATCAAAGGTCAAGAAATCTGCAAATGAAATTTCACTTCTGAGCACGTCGCTTGGCATGAACAGCTTCCAACGCATCGGCAAGGTCCTGAACCTTGGTGATGACCTCACCCTTGAAACAGATTGCACACCGTGCCCATTTGAAAGATGCCCCATGTTCCAAGTAGTTGTAGCTACTGCCAACCTTCCTGCCACACGCCATCAAGCCAGACACTTTGTTAGGCCTGTGTAAAACCCGGCTCTTTTTGTGCTGATACACCGGCTCATCACAGTCCTTGGTCTCACCAGCAGCACCGTATTTCTGTTGCAACGGTTCTTCACACGCAGAGGAGCTTGATGAAGTCGAGCTCGACTCATCCGACGACTCTCGAGCTTGAACAGCCCGGTCATCCTCTGCCTCGCTGCCAGGCGCACCACAAAGGTCCCACTCGGGTTCTGTAAGATCCACAACACCGCAAACATCGTCAACACCATGTTGGTCCTCGGATCCAAAAGCACTGGGAGGAGCCTCTACCTTCACACGGGTCTTTGGAGGAGCATCTGAAACTGAAACTGCATCATCTGGCTTGCGCCTCACAAACCGGCCAGACCTTGTCTCATCTGGAAGAAAATGACCAGTTCTGATGTTCATCAGCATAGCCTCATACAAAGCCAGGGGCCTACTGAGCATGTCGCGGGAGTAGCAGGCCAAGCTTTGCGACTGCAGCTCATGATGACCCAGCAAAGTTCTTGCAGATTCATCCAAGCCATACTTTGCGCTCCAAGTGAGCGTTGTGGCTTTCATGCAGTGGCTTGTAACCACATTCTCACCATGCAGCCCCAACATGTGGTTGAGGAAATCGCCAATCTCTTCAGACGACAAATGTCGAGTGCCCAATGTGCCATTCATGGGAGGTCTGCACATAGCTCCCACTGGTTCTGCAGCTAGGTCAAACTGAACCTGATCCAAAATGTGAAACCACTCAACTGCCCAGAGTTTGTCTGTCACCCCACAAATGGGTGCCACCAGCGGCATCTGCATCGCCCGCTTCAAGGCTGTGGAGCCAGTCTTCTGAAATCTTGTTGAGCCTTCCACAAAACCAATTCGACCCAGCTCTGTTTCTGTCGTGTCCAAAGCCAGGTCACTTAGGAATGCCAAGTCCGACCATCTTGACCGGCTGTAAATTGCAAAAAGGACACAACCAGCAATGTACCTGTCGAAGACGTTCATGTCAGACATCATGAACTCCTCTATGAATTTGACCTCAGCAAGAGTCAGCGGTCGGCTCTGCTTGATTGTGTCCCTTGCAGCATCCATGCGCCTCACTCTACCTGACAGCACAGGATCATCAATGATCTCATCCAGATCTGGCAGCCTCATGACATGCTTGCAAAAACGGAAGGCTTCCATCAATGTTTTTCCCTTTGTGCTGCCAGCGCCACCCACACTTGATTCATTCAAGTAGGCTGCAACATAATCAGATCTAACTGGCCACACACTGAGATTCTTCTTGTCCAGCCATGCAAAAAGTGCTAGCATGGTTGATGCCCGTTTGTTTGCAGTGCGCGGCGATTTGTTGCCAAACACATCCCTGAGGATACTACCATAGTCCCTTCCATCGCTCACTGCATCCCTGACTGCTGCACCAACTAAACCTGTATAGCAAGCACATGCCAAAACAGTGTGCCACTTCTTCAGTGCTTTCGTCCATGACTCTTCTATGGCTGTAAGATGATCCACATCACGTTTCAACTTGACGACCTGTGAAAAAATGCAGTCAGTGCGGTCACGCTTCAGAATCTTACTTGAGACACCTGTCAAAGCATCAACACTTGACTCAGTTGGCTGTGCATCCTCAAGGTCAGGAGGCAAAGGACATGAAGCCAAATTGGATGCCAAAAAATCTTCATTGCTTCCAAAAATTGTTGCAAAAACTCCGGATTCCCACGGCAGTGACTGAGTGAGGTTCCGACTGTTGACAAAATGCGCCTCCTGCAAAGCCCGATCAACCTGTTGGCCAATCCATGCTGCACCTTCGTCCACAGGTCCATGCAATGCTGCGTCAACCTGAGCATCATGCGACAAATCATCAACATCAGGAATATCAAATCTGTCAGTAGGGTGTTGAACATCTGTATGCGTACGGCTCCAAACTGTCAAAGAATCAACCAGACTGTCATTGTTTGCATTTGCAATTGCAACACGTCTGTTTGCATTCACCACTGAAACAGGTTCAGATGTATCTGCTCCAGCTCCATACAGTTCAACGTCCTTGATCACCACGTCGAAAAATTCGGCCATACGCAAACCCCTACTCAGCAAATTTCAAACATGGCGTCCTAAAAAACGCGAAACCCACCCACCCACCTCTTGAACATAAACTGTGGGAGAACATAAAAGTCATTGACATGTACCCAAGATAAGTGTTGACAAAGAAGCACAGCAGTCTGAGAAAAACACATCAAAGAAAAGCGTTGCAGGACAAATGTTAACTGTTTGAAATTACAGTGTTGACATTTGAGACCCATACTTCAAGTGACCCCCAGAACCGCATAGCCTGCATTCAGGCAAACGGTTTTTTAGATTTAGGAAATAAAGAGTTATCACCACGTTGGGCGAAAAACCTCAAACCAGTATTCTTTGAGCAACATAAGGGAAAGATGAGGTGCCCTCACTTCCAATACGTGCGTTGCTGGTATCAGGAAAGTGACTAACCATTCGGCCAAAAATTCAATCATCCTTGCTTCAAGCTTTGGGAGGATTTTCTGGACCGCCTGGAGCGCTGTCTCAATGTCTGGGACATGTGTAGCCGAGGGCAATCCTACTGTTCGCCTGGCATATTCGTCAGCAAAGTAGAGTCGGCACAATTTGGAAACCCACTGGCTTGGTTTCTCCATATCTATTGTGATCTTAGCCAGGGGCCATGGGTCGGGTAGCGTGGATAAGCAATGCAGTAACTCTGAAGTTAGTTCTGGGGATATTACTGGGAGCGCCCCTCCTTGTGGTCGATAATCTACAGTTGCCCCTGCTGTGCCCTTGCTCATTTGTGTGTGGATGCGGGCCGCCTTGTGCACTTCTTGTATGGTGGACTCGTATTGGTTGACCATAGCTCTTAAGTACTTGCATGCGTGGACCGCTGCCCTCCTTGTATTCGGCCCATCTTCGGCCTGATTCTTGGCGGCTGTCGCAAGGATGTCCCTCGCTTCTTCTTCCGGCGACCGAGTTGGTTCTGTACCAGCCGCAGGTGCAGTCGGAGCGATATCTTGGACTGGCGCTTCTTTAGTGCGTGGCAGATGGCCGGGGATTGGTAACGTTGGGTGTACCCGCCATCCATCAAAGAAGTATATACCTGACAAGGGTAGGATTTCCTGATCAGGGCCGGTCTGCGCCACAATCTGCCCAGTACGCGCCTTGTACAATCCTGAAGGCAGGCATACATATGTGGGAAAGGGTGTGCGATCAGCTGCGTAGGCATACAGGACGACTTCCGGGAACGGGAGATTCTGTACAGGAATCCATTTATGTTGAGCTGCTAGTCCTGTCTTGACTTCTTGGAGGCGATCTCTGTTCAGCCACCCAAGATCTGACCCTCGAACCAATATCAGACGGTATCTCGCTCGTTTCACCTCATTGGTTTGTTGGTCCTGGTATTGGTTTGCGATTGCGAGGGGAGGGATTTCCATGCGGGTGTTGAGTTCAGCGACCATCTACTCATCTGTGCAAGATTCTCCTGTTCTGGGTTGGCATCGAAGTCAGGCCATTCCCATGTCGTCTCTCCTCTTCGAAGGCCTCGGATGCCATATGCTATGGTCGCGACCACCTGAGCCATGCCCATAAGCCCCATCATGTCTAACGGGGAGACCAACAGGGTTAAGGATTTTGAGCGGGTGAGTCCGACAGTGATTCGGCCAAGGCAGTCTTCCGTATCTTCCGTAGGGGAACCGTTGGAGTAGTACTTCGTGTTCAGGAATCCAATACTGGGCTGGGCTACGATTGCAACTTGTGCTGTTCCTCCTGCTGAGTTGGCAATTGTTTCTACACGGAGAGTGCGGGCATAATCTTTTTTAAGCACTGAACGGTTCAGGTTATTCTTGTGGTCTGTTGCAGTGGTCATTACGAAGAGCCCATCGGCAAACCCGGCATTCCTGGGGAAGGGGGAGAGCACTTGTGACACGAGCGTCTCTAGGTCTGTAGCTACTATCCCATTAATTCTAGCATTGGTGTCCCAAAGCACGAACTGGAACCCCGGTGGCCGGTCTGGAAGTCCTCCGGAGGCAAAACTTCCAAGTTCCCACATGTCGTTGATGAGTCTGCAAAGATCAGGGTATCTGACTGCTACTACTGAGTGATATGTCACAGGGCTAACTCTTGAGCTAGACGGGAGCATCAATCCCCATGCATGGATGTCGCTCACCCCTGCGGTATGGGAGTTTAAAACCGCTTGTATGTCACCGGCCATGGGTAGGAGGGTCGCAGCATGCTGCAACATCCAGGCAAGGCGTACCAGGGACCGTGGAAAGTTGACTGTTGTG